AAAGCTGCGGGGAACTCTGCAAAAAACGCATCTTCGTACGGGCAGCCCGTGCGTTGGCCAATTTTTGCACTTAAAAATCGCCAGAATCATAAATACTAGAGGAAGCGCGAATAACTGAGCGACAGTGCGCAAGAATTAGTCGCAGAACACAGTTTTTAACATTGTATAGACCGAAGCTTTAAGAAATTAGATTCTGAGTTTAATTAGTCACCCCAAAATTCGATCAGATCCTCAAATTCAAATTTTAAACCGAAATTTTTTCTTTTCTGGGTGCCCCGACTTTCTTTGCAAATATGCAAGAAATTCTATAATAAATAGTATTTCTCTTGAGGTTAAACTTCTATCAACAAAAACTAATTTAAACTAATTTAGGAAGATAAGAATGCACGTATCGCCGTAGAAATCAAGCAATATGAACGTTCTGATATGCGCAAAAGTGGCGATTCTTCATTCAAAACATTTTCTGTTCCGATCATTAATTTCAGGTACTGGCAGTGTTATCATAGTTTATCAAAAGCCTTCGGTAGTATCCAAAGTGCAGCCACTTACTAAAAAAACCCACCTGTGGTGTACTTTAGGATTTCCAGTTGTGACTCAGCTGTTGATCCTGAGCTGCATATCTCCAGTTAGTACCTATCACTTCTTCAACGTACGCACGCTTAAATGCCCGGGTGATTGTACTGAAGTACTAAATTCTCAGCAATAACGCAGGCTGGAACGCACCAGGCTTTCCGGTGGGATCAACTCGCAGATCGCTAATAGCAAGAATGAGCTCAAGTGTTAGGCTACAGCCCTACGCTGTAGCCTAACACTTGGGCTCATATTGACCACTCTCTGACTTTTCCCAGCATGCAGGAGAAAGGGCGTCGATTGGGATGTAGGTGCTGCATTACAGGGCCGTATCGACCTCCAAGTACATGATCACCAGTTTTGCATGAAGCCCGGTCGTTTTTATTTTGGTAAATGCTCGCTTTTTGTAAGAATGCAAATTTCCAGTTCACTAAGGAATCGAACTGTTGCTAGAGCGATCGTTCGTCAGAAAATCCAAGCATACAGATGAACTGAATGTTCATTTACATATTTGGAGAGGGTGGTCATTCGTTGCATAACATACTTGTTTCTGATTTTTCAGTACGGTTGAGAATCGGCAGGTAATTTCACTTCCAGACAGAATCAAGACCGCACTTGAAAGTAGAATAACCTAGCGAAGTTTCACCCGAACCTTTTTTCAGCAGCGTAAATCAGTTTGGAATCATACAGACAAATGGCCATGTTCAGTAAGTTCCGCCTCGTGCTTCGAAAAATTCATGACTCAGGGATTTCCCCTGATCTTATGAATACTGGATATGCATTTACGGTTCCAAAAACCTAGAGTGCATCTGCCTTCCTTGAAGCGTTTCGAATGTGGAGTACTGCTTGCTGTGGGAAGAGGGTTGTTATTCACTTAAACGTGCTGCTGCTGTTTCAGAAATGAGTTCAAGGATGGTTTCACTGTCACGCATTTTGAAACTACCAAGAACGAATTGCCAGTGGAAATTTTGGATTATAATTTTGCACAGAACTCAGCCGAAATTATTATCTTCTGCAAACAGGTACGCACACTTTCTACTTTGATCCAAAAAATTTCTTCGGTTTCGGTTGTAATCTCACAAACATTCAAAATCCTGGTTAAAAACTTGGGCTATTTAAGTTTCTCCAGCATCCCTCTGAAAAAGTTACTAGTATCCGAAATAAGTTACCAGGTACCATTGTCACTGTCTACTGAGCTGGAGATTCCGCATCATGGTGCTGAACAATCCTCCTGGATGAACTACTTTAAATCGGTTTCCGAAATTTAGCTTTTACTCTTACTGTACCTACGCTCGTCTTGTTTACGAACAAAATCCAGGATTTTAATATCAATCCTAAGTGAAATGGAATGGAAAACAGAGGTTATATATATTTTCAGATTAAAGATCCCGGTGCTCTCGACAAGCAGGGCGCAGTTCCCCCGAAAGCATCTGTGAAATGAGTTTCTTCCAAACAAGTTATGGATTTGTTGCCCGATTTTAGAGGGATTCATTGCTCATTTTTGTGTTGTCCGATTTCACTTGCTGTTAACAGATGGTTAATAAATTTTTAACTTCATTCGCAAAGAAAAATACAAATTCAAGCCACAAGAACAGCGTCTCAGCTTACATCTATGCCCCCCGTCCTCATTTTAGTCATTCAAAAATGAGGTAAAAACTACGTGACATTCATGCCTGGAAGCCAATTACATAGGAAAAAATCAGTTTTCAAAGTTTATTCACATAGCACACTTACAAAAAGATTAACTCCGTGATAAGCCATAGTGAAAAATGTCAAATCTCATTCCGCCCGACCTGCATTTTTCTCTTGCCGCCTTTTTTTGTTGTAGAGACGCCGTCTCTTCAGGAGTAGTCTAAATCTTCGCTGTTTTTCAGTGGGATTTTCCAGTAGTATATGACGCTCATTGGCTGCCCGCAGGGTGAACAACATATCGGTAAACGAACAAACAAATAAACAACAGTAACGAGCAAATAGAGAGCATTAGAGTGTGCAAAAAATCCAATTCAAAAAGAATTTAACTAAAAGATGGGTCTAGAAGTCCGATGCATAAGCTCGATCCCGTTTCTTCTTTATTATACTCATAGCAAAAAAAGAAGCCGCCCCGGTTGATTCAAACGCGCCTAGTAAGCACAGTATAAGGGAACACTTATGTATGTCTATGTGATATGCATACATATTTGAAAGTGTAAGCGCGCGATTTTTCTTAAAAAAAAATTCCTCAAATATGGGCCTCGGATGGAATCTGCGGAGTCAAAAAAGATTAGTCTAAATTTAAGTGAAGAAAAGAAGCATTTTTTTAACATCAGCACCTTCTGGAAAAGTGCCTGCTTTCTTCCTCCTCCCTTTCCCTCCTAGCCCTCCTACCTCCTATTCCCAGCAATTCCCCTATTTAAGCCAATGGTATATGTATACAACGAAAACAGTACCAACAATAATTAAAAAGGCCTGAATTACGGAGAAGAAAAACATCAAGAGACAGTGAAAAATCGCACAACAAGGAAGCTTGATGCGGAACGAGCCGTGTCAGCGTTGTTCATAGACAAAAATCACACTCTACTAAACCCCCGTCCATCGTACACAAGATGTTTCGGTAAGCAGCCAGGGCAATACCATTTTCCTTTCGGTTTTTCCGTAATACCAACACATGTATAATGAAACCATTCGAAACAACATTCAGAATCGTCACATGCAACCATTGAACCATGCGCTTTCTGCAAAAATCCCTCAACAAGAGAAAAATAAACTGAAAATGATTCTGAAAAAAAAAAAAATTTTGTCTGTGCATGAAAACGCATCGAATTACTAGCAGTGTAATGGATAATAACGATAACAATAGTAATAATAATATAGACCTCCTGCTAAGCAAGGTATTTTAACATTTAGTCCAGAGCTGGCAAAACTCGAGACGAGATGGTGAATGATCAACACAGGTCAAGGACATCTCCAAAAACAAAAACAAATTCGTGCCTTGTGAAATACTTCTGAGCTGATAATCCCCCATGTCAGAATCACAAGCAGGCTGTCTATCAGGTGATATACTCAGGTCACCAAAGCGACCAAAAAAGCTGCTAACCACACCAGTAGAAAAGGAGACCATGTATTACAGCTAATTCAAAAATTTCAAGCAAACCTGTTGACACGGTGTTTAATACACGCTCCAAGCCTTATTTTCTATGAGAATTTTTTTCGGAAAAAAATCCACTGAGGCGGTGCGGCGTTTTGTCACAAAAAGAAATCAATAAGTTACAAGGATTATGCAAAAGCAGTCATTACAAAACCCCGTTTAAAAAAAAAAAAAAAAAAAAAAAAAAACGGGGTTTTGTAATCAGTGTTTTTGCATAATCCTTGTAACTTATGGCAAAGCAGAAAAAAAGAAGGCAACATACATCTCGACAGAAGCACCAGATAAGTTTGTCTGAGTCCGATTCGTCCTCACTTGCTTCCGGTGAAGTTGGTGAACGCGAATGATGGCTAACTGCTCGGCGCTCATGACGCTGCAAAGTGTTCAGCAT